TACGTGACCAAACTTCTGACACTTAAAGCATCTTATAGGTGGGGGAATATACGGTCGTATCATGTAACTCAAATATCCTAGATACACTTTCTCAGGTCATTTTTCCGCATCAAATTGAATCATTACCGAGAGGCTATCTACCTTTTGTTCATTTTTGACATATTTAAGTCTCTTCACATCTTCTACTACTGCCCCTGATAGATTTCGTTTGATAGACTCAACTGAAACATCAGTTGATATCCCTGTTATTACTCCTTTCACCCATTTCCTTTCCTCCATTATTGTACACGATACTTTTATTCCCAGCAGAGATTTTAGTCCTACTGCAGCTTTTTGCTGCTTCTTGTCATGACACAACAACAGTAATCTGCCATCTCTCACCCTCTTTGCACTATCAATCTTGCCAACCGCTTCTTTCAGAGCTTTAGTTATGTTAATTGGGTTTAACACATTAGCCGATCCCGCAAGAAATTTAAGCATTACCTTTGTAAGAATTACAGAACCTCAGACACTTTGATCTTCTGAGACAGACAATACACACACAGTGCATTAACATACAGACATCTGTTTCCACATCTCACTAAGAGAAAATGTGGGAAAACCATTCTCACATATGCATTGGTTCCTCCTCATCCCCTTCCTTCCCCTCACCCAGCTCACTCAGAATGGTCAATAGTAGAATATAATGTTCTACATGAATGCAAGTGATATTTACAGTCATGTTTGGTGTTATTTGAAGTGTCTCAGGGCGAGTGGTACAATGGTCTCTATCTTACAAAAGTAGATTAAAAGATAATACAGATCCTAAGAGTTAAGAGATATTTTGATTACTGTAGAGGGTGTGTCATTCCATGCAAATTACCTTCTGTTCCCATTGAGGTGTAAACCACCCAGGTCTGGTACCTGGGTTAATGCAAATTCCAATTGTTTGTACATGCCTTCATTTAGGGTGCGCACTTTGCCTATGTCTACTAATACGCTACTTTCTTTTTCTATTGGTCTCTGGAATTGCCAAATCTAAACAAAGCAGATTTTATTACTTCTATTACAAGTCATTTCAAGACTAAACCTCATGGCCCTGACAGAGACGTGGATCAAACCAGAGGACAATGCTACACCTG